TAGATGTTAGGAGCCAGTGTGTGTTTATGCTCATCACAGTAGAGTCGTCCAACAGACGAAGTGCAGCATACATACGATAATCTGATTGAATGTATATGTCTAAATTAAAGATCCAACCAGATAAGATCAATCTAACATCAAAGCAGCCAGCCTAAGTATCTTGATCACAATGGCCTATAAAAGTTATCAGATTTAAAACAAGCTTGTATAAAACAAATAGGTGAAATTTCAATATTGATGAACGATTTTAATTTAGGGTTTATATGATAATAAAGAGGACAACAATTGCCACATTTAATCAAATCTAAGGTAGCGAATTAGCGAAAAAGATAAAAGGCAATTCAAAATCATCAGTTGTATGCAGGTAAAAATAAAGTATGGTAAAGGCATTCTAAATATCAACTAAGCGGGAATCCACAAAAAGTGGCCCATATTAGTTAAAAGTATGACAACTTCTTATTAAGTGGGCTCTTTATAGACAAACATAAGGTAAGCTCCTACCAGATCGTGAGGTGCCGATCCCAGCGGTGTCAAGCGGAGAAAATGTTGCACCATTTGACAACTGCACACTTGGCTGGCCTGGTCTATAGCGAGCTCGAGTCGTGTAATATACACCTGAGGGCAAGCTAGGTACTAGTCCGAGTTCGTGGAGAGCGTCAGTAGGCGGATGGCCGGATTTAGCTGCCTCAATGAGTTTCGTTAGAGACGAATTGATTGGTCCGGTACCGAGAGAGCTGGCAGGACCTGATGTTGACTGGGCAGGCTTCTTGTGGAGAGCCATTGAACTAAATAAAAATAATTAGATATAGGAAAAGATTAACAAATAAGTTTGCATGCATTGAGGGATAAAATAATAAAGGCAAAATATGCATGAATAAATATATGCAACAAGATCCTTATATAGAAATAGCTCCGATTAGTGATGCTGCTATTGAGGAGATAGCATCTTGAGAAACAATGATTTCCTAGACCAACAAAGGACCTGTCGCTATTCTACAGCCCCAAATACAAAAAAGAATCAATAGTAGCTCACCAAACAACCCCAATTGCTGATAGGATATATGGAACAGTCCTTTGGCTGCAATAAGTATAAGGCCACCACCAGAATCTAATTGAATTTATATTTCGAGCTAAGTATATACATCATATGTCAAACGAAGGCTCGAAGCAGGGTTGTCTAATTAAATGCTCGTATCTTTTTGACTTATAAATAGAAATACTAAAAAAAGACAAATTTTGACTGTCTGTAAATCCCACATACAGTGGAAAAGCCTCGGCTTGCCCTTCAGAACTAGGAGTGCTTACTTTGCTAAGACTTTCCATCGCATACGAATTTTCACCAAAAGTAATTTATGTTTGACTCAGCCTCTCCTAAAATTGTGTTTATCGGATGTTCGATAGCCAGCCAAAACAGGAAGCTGTCTCCTTCAAGTTAGTTCAAATTAAGTTCTTGCATGAAAACGTCAGACTGAATATTGAGGTCGCACTTACGAAACGTGTCCAAGCTATGGGAACACGCATTCTCAGAGCAGACCGTGAGTAAGGAATACAATAATAATCGCCTAAGGCAGCGGCTCTCAAACTGTGCGTTGCGGCGCCACGGGGAGCCGCGGCCTCTTTACAGGGGCGCCGCGAAATATTGTAAAAGCTTCAATTTGAGAAAACGTGCAGTAATTTGCAGACTCATCCATCACATTAATTATTAAATACTAATTTAATGATAATAAAGTATATAAAAAAATGAAGGTACACGAGTTTTATTTATTTTTATCTCTTACTTACGAATAGTCATACTTAGGGTAGGGCGCTAATGAAAAATGTAAATTGAAAAAGGGCGCCGCGACTAGAAAAAGTTCGGGAACCACTGGCCTAAGGCGATGTATGACTGATGGGTGAATTTCTAACGAGATGAATGGAAGAACTTATTCAAGCACAATTGATGGCTTTAAAATACAACCACAATGCAAATAGTCTTGAATTATTTATAAAAATAATGTATATTTAAACCCGTATTAGCCGTCGCTTATTCGCAACATTCTGTTAAGGCAGTTATAATAAAATATTTAAAAGCCTATTTTCATATTAGCGACAAAATGTATGTTTAATTTCGAGACAAGAGATTGGTCATGCATGGATAGAACTTATCCTGGTTAGTTCTTAATAAAAGAGCTAAAGTATCGGAAACCGCATTTTAAAGATAACAATATTATAGCTTCATGGAAATATGGAGATTCCAGAGAAAGATTCAGGAAAAAGTAAAGTTCATTAGGCACCCCTAGGATATTATGCTGAAATTAGAGCAGGTCAGAATGAAGCTTTGAAAGTTAAGACTAAGCAAGAGAACGTCATCCGAAAAATGGAATCAGTTAATGGCGGAGAATTTAGCAAAAGGTTAGATTTTAAGATCCCTCATAGAGCGTTGCCTGATCTTCAATTCTTTTTAGAGATAAGCTGACTGTAGTAGATTGAGTGTTGCTTAAAACAACCATAATTTGCCTGGGGTCAAAATAAAAGGCTATTAGTTTTTATCTGCTTTTAACCCGATTGATGGGCTGGCTTAAAAGATTCCAATTAGCCAAAA